ATAAAAATATCTAATTCTAAATAAATATGTGTAAAAAGTAAGTAAATATGCTATTAGGAGCCACCTAATAAATATTTTTTTGGATTAAAATATTTTTTTTTCTCAGTGTAGATAATATATTTTTGCGAATTGTGGAAAGATCAAAAGAAATTCTTTACTCTAAAGCGAGTTGGTACTTTTTTAAACATATGACATATTCCTGGTATGTCACTTGCTCGCTTAATTTGTCGATGCCCAGTTTTGATGTTACCTTCTCTAATTGCTGACTGTAAAATATAATTTTTATAACGCTTTTTTACCTTTTGCGATAAAATTATAAGAAAATTATTTTTGTGCATACCTAATGATCGAGAATAAACTACAAGCGTGAACGGTACGAGTAATATATATACTGTCGACAGCAACAAAAATAGTTGCACCCATCACAATTACAGATGAAGTATAGCAAAATATCAGTACGAAATACTTGTCCTTATCCATTCCCCATTCTATTTCAGAAATCACGAATATTCGCGGTCGTGACTCATTAAGAGGCCGTATGATATCGAGTAATATCGGTTTAAATGGAACCATCAAAAATAGTACTGTTGAGACGTATGTTATAACTGCAATTTTATGAAAAACATATTTTTGTATATTTTATGTGCTTTGTATATTTATAAATAATACAATATATATATATATATATATGTATTTATGAATTATACACACAATTTGTAAACATATTAAATATATATTTATTCATAATTTATAAATATGTAAATGTATTAAAAAGATTAAAATTGATATTCTTGGCAAAAATTGTATGAATATTCTGATGGTGCAATTTTATCAACAAAAGAATTCTTTTACGAAGTTTTTTATTATATTAATATCTATGTTTTTAAATGTATTTATATATTGTAGTGGCTTAATTATCTATATAATTTTTGCATTTACTCACTCGAATAAGTTATTATACATTTTCGCGTTAGCATAGAATAGTCTTTAAGAATACGAATTTCAATTTCGCTTGTAAATACATTCCAGTGGTTTTCCATCGCTTCGTATAAATATCGTATCTAACCGTAACAAATAATTTCGTTAAAATTATTATTAAAAGTAAGATATAAATAAACCAGTGATGTAATTCGTATACATACCTTGTCATGGTTCCAAAACTCATTGAATAGCTTAACAACGAATATCATTACTGTGACAATGTGATGACAAATTTCAAAAACCTCTTGTATATTTCCCCATCGATCACATAGTGCTAATACCTAAGCGTAATATTAATTGTTTCAAGTTATTAAGTATATATTACGTGTAAAAGGAATATTTGTAATGACACGTTTTATGCCCTACTCGGATTCATGCAGTTAGAAATGTATTATTACCTGCAATAGAACGATAGTCATCAGTATCACAAGATATAAAATCGGTAACACATTTCTAACGAATTTATTTTGGTATGGCCAAAGGCCCAAGTGTGACAATAATATTTTATTGACATTGTACTCTCGTAATACATGCACCAGCATGATATTGCTGCTTGAACGTTACGATAGAAATGACACCCATGGTATGTGCCACCGTTTTTTTTTTTTTTTAAGATCAAGTTTTTCAACAGCATGAAATTATAGGATGTCAAGAATCGTTAGTACGATGTAGCTATACCGTAGCGATATAACTATCTTAATCTTGTGTTTCAAAAAGCTCGTGGAAAGTATCTTTTCCAGGTGGACATTTACATAATAACACACTGCGTAACGTTCCTACCCTTATATACACAAAATAACACTACGTGACGCTTTAACAGTGTCATGCACAATTCATTATTTATTCATAAGAATTGTAACGTGACATAGTCACGTCCCCTGTCCAGACGGTAGCTCGACCGAGAGGAACGTCCGAGATGTCGCCTCCGCCGAAGCGGGGCGGGGCGACAGCGTCAGAATTCAGACCCTAGTGGGTCTGTCAAACTCAACAAGGCGCACGGAGGGTTGGTGAGTCTTATGAATAGTCTTATGAATAGTCGGTGAGTCTTAGATTCAATTCCCAAAACTCTCTTATTTTTATTTTAGATAGGTATTGATTTTAGAAAAGATTGATTGAAAATTAATGATTATGAATAAAGAAGGAAATGAATGATAATCTGTTTTGAGAATCCATATTTCAATTACATATTTCATTTACCTACATTATTAGCATGAAATGTGCCAGTGAATAAATGTAGATGCAATCGATTTTAAAGTGTTTTTTGTGTCTAAGCGAAATCTAAGGTGTTCCCAATCGGAACACTTGACCAAATTATAAACACAATCGCTCAAACTTAATTCTGGTAGAATTAAGAAAGAACTACAAAATGTATGAAGCTACTTAATCTTTAAGTGATAAGAATGTCGTGAAATAGGATATGCCCGTCCGTACCACCTTAAATCAAATACAGATGTGAGGATAAATTGTCTTCTATCATAAATTGTCTGTATATCACGAATAAAAATTGAAGATTTTCGTACTTACTGTAGCATAAGTCGCCATTGATAATGAAAATATGTTACCAGCTGTTAAACCACACGGTATAAAGCTTCTGTAAAGGGTTATAATCAAGAGCGATTTTAATCTTGGTGAGAATTTATACCATTTTGCAGCATATCTGTAGATATAAATTTAAGAGAATCCGTTCACATAATATTTTTGTCAATAATTATATCTGATTAAGAAATTAAAATTTTTTTCTTCTAGAATAGAAGCAAGTAAGTATTGCAAATTATAAATTAAATTTTTAAGGAAAAATCTATTGTATAAAATGGGTATTTAAAATAATGCTATATTTATACAAATATTTACATATATGTATTTTATTCACAATATTAAAAACAAAAATTTTGTATTAATGTTTTACCATAAAAAAAATTAAACCCGTAGTTTATATCAGTTTTAAAATATAATAGATAATTTATAAGATATATATAAAGAGATTAAGTATCTTTTTCAGCAAGGAATATTTTATTTTTTCCCAAATTTTATAATGTGTAAAAATATATACATTGCATTTACCTAGTAAACTTTTGGCTCAAAGTATCAAAATAAAAAAATTCTTACGCTCGATAGAATACATTCTGACTTTCGTCCATTAGCTTTTGACCAGAATAACATAGGATCAGAAGCTGCATTAACATGCCTATGATTACAAGGCCAAATCTCATTACTTCTTCCAACTGATTTAATACATATACGATCTACAACATATAGAAATATAGCACAGAATTATATGTATATATAGGTATGTGAAAGATTTTGATAATAATGTTAATTTTTTTCTTTTCTCTATAAAAAATACATGTAAATGCTTACTCGAACTCCAACCAGACTTATAATCGCACCAGTCATCAATAGCATAATTAATGCCACTGTTCGATACATCGAATTCAGTACGTCGACAAACCTAATGAAACGATAATGTTATAGATAATATATTTTTGCGAATTGTGGAAAGATCGAAAGAAATTCTTTACTCTAAAGCGAGTTGGTACTTTCTTAAACATATGACATATTCCTGGTATGTCACTTGCTCGCTTAATTTGTCGATGCCCAGTTCTGATATTACCTTCTCTAATTGCTGACTGTGAAATAGAATTTTTATGACGCTTTTTTATCTTTTGCGATAAATTTATAAGAAAATTATTTTTGTGTATACCTAATGATCGAGAATAAACTACAAGCGTGAACAGTACAGGTGACATGCATAGTATCGATGCCAACCATGATAATTGTACCTGTCACGATTATACTCATGTTATAACAGAAAATCGGTACGAAATACTTGTCCTTATCTATTCTCCATTCTATAGAAACCGCGAAGAATCGCGGCCGTGATTCATTAAGGGGCCGTATGATATCGAGTAATATCGGTGTTAATGGAACCATTAAAAATATTGCTATCATGGAGAACATTATTACTGCAATTTTATGAAAGATATATTTTTGGTATACATATATATATATTTGTATTTAATTAATATATAATTAGACAATTAGTATATAATTAAGAAGATTGAAATTGATTCTTTGTTAATTATACAGATATTTTATCGATAGAATTGGATTGTCAACAAAAATGTTTTACAAAGTTTCTTTTTGAAAAAAAATCTGCATCTATTTCATAATAAATATCGCTAATCTATATCCTTTGCAATTACTCACTCGAGTAAAGTATTGTAAATTTTCGAGATATGAGAGAATAATCTTTAAGAACGCGCGTTTCAAATTCACTTGTAAATGTACTCCAATGTTTCTCCATGGCTTCACATAATTGTCGAATCTGACAAAAGAAAAATAAAAAAAATCTTATTGTAATAATAATTAAAAAATCTAAATAAGCGAGTGATTTCTTCCGTGCACATACCTTGTCGTGGTTCCAAAAGTCATTAGTTAACTTTGCGACAAAAGTGGTTAATAAGACAATTTGAGAGCAACACTCGAAAACCAATCGTGAGTTTTCCCAATGATCATACAACATTATTATCTAAGTGTAACATTAATTACATAACTCCATGAGGTATATTATATGTCAAAAAATATTTAGAATTAACACTTTTAAAATATTAATCGTATTCGTGCAAATAAAACTGTGTTAAAACGTATTACCACCAAGGGATAGCAAGTCATTTGAAGCACAAGATAGGATATCGGTAACAAACTTCTTGCGAGTTCATTTTGAAACGGCCAGAGACCCAAATATGACAATAATATCTTATTGAGATTATGCTCTCGTAAAACATGCGTCAGCATGATATCCTACTTTCCGTTTGAGTGCTACGATAGAACTGACATGTGCTGCACGTGCCGTCAATCCTTTGTCAAATCCAAATTTCCAGAGATATAAAATTACAGGTTGTCAACAACACCGTTCAGGACGAAGTAGCTATTTCTTCAAAAAATGAGAGAATAATAGCTTAGAAAATAGACCGCGGCAACGTGTATACCAGGTAGCGTTTACAACATATCTTTTTCATAGCGCTTATATGTACAAAATGATGGTATCGGATAACGCAGTAAAGATGCTATGCGAGTAATAATAGTGAAAATGACAACAGACATCGCGTGCTTGTCTCATCGTTTTATTGATCAATTTCACTTTTCGCTTACAATTTTTAGCGTGAGCTACAACTTCTAGTAAGCGCAGGTGCAATCAATTTTAAGTGCTTAAGTGGAGTCTACATATAGAGTTGGTTGCTCGGCAGTTTCACAACACGATCCATAAAGATCTAACAATATGAGATAAACGTAATACAAAATAACTATTCTTTGAATGATAAAAATGTCGTAAAGTAAGATAAGGCCGCCCGTACCACCTTTAATCATATACAGATGCAAAAATTATTTTCTATACATTGCAATATCAATTTGTAGATTTTCTTTCTTACCGTAGCGTAAGTCGCCATTGACAATGGAACCATGTTGCCTGCAGTTAAACCAGAGGGGACAATACTTCTATAAAGAGTTATAATTAACAGCGACTTCAGTCTCGGTGAGAATTTATACCATTTCACAGCGTACCTGTATACATATACGACAGAATAAATATACGAATTTATTCACGTAAGAGAGAGAGGGAGAGAGAGAGAGAATTTTCTCAAAAAATTTTTTATTTCAGTAAAATATTAAAATTATTTGTATATCTTTTTATCTAATGCAGACAAGTAAACATTATAAATCGCGATCTAACTTTTTGAAGCAAAGTAAAATTTATTATTTTTTGTTTCTAAACAAATCTCATTTATATTGATTGACATTAAAAAAAATATTGTATGATTATAACTTCAAAAAAAAATTAAAAGTTGTTTTATAAATCTTAGAAGCCAATCTTAGAAGAATATAATAGAAACTTATAATTTGAAATAGATTATTTCCAGGACATAATTATTATATCGCATATATTTCACATATATACGAAAGTAATTGAAATAAAATTATTCTTACGCTTGATAGAATACATTCTGACTTTCGTCCATTAGCTTTTGACCAGAATAACAAATAATCATGAGTTGTACTAACATGCCAATAATTATAAAACCAAATCTCGCTACTTCTTTCAATTGACCTAATATGTAAACGACCTATAATAAATCAATATTGTTATATTGTGTGAAATATAATATCTGTGTGAAATATAATGTGATCTTCAAAATAATATATATATATATAATTTCGATTAAGACTTATTATACATGACAGCATTAACATTTCAAAGGAAAGCAACTATGACTTAATGACATCAATAAAATAGCGGATAATTGGAAACATTCTTTACGAAGAACCTTTATTTTTTATTGATTTATTTTTCGATCATACTCTTATATTATATTATAACTCATAACGTATATGTGTCATGTTTTATATGTAACACATATAAATAATTATATAAAACTTACTCGAATTCCAACCAGACTTATAGTTATACCATTCAACAATAATAGAAATAATGCAATGACTTGATATATTGAATTTAATATATTGACAAACCTATGAGACAACAGTAATATATATATTATATTTCAATGTAGGTTAATGTTTTGTAAAGGACAATGATTGTAAGATTATTCGGAAAAACTTACTCTAAAGCAAGCTGATATTTTTTCAAGCATATTATATATTGCTGATACATTTCTTTTTCGCTCGACAATTTGAATTTCTCGTTCAAGCAACGTTCATATTTGCTAACTTGTTTTGCGATATCCAACTTTGATAGTACCTCCTCGAATTGCTGACTGTGAAGTAGAACATTCCCATTTGTATTTCACAGGATTTTAAGTATCGTGTAAATGTACGTACCTGATGATGGAGAATAAACCGCAAGCATGTGCAGTGCAAACGACGTAAATAGAATCGACACCAACCATGATAATCACGCCCAACACTATTATACTGATATTGTAACAAAAAACCGGTGTATAGTATTTCTCTTGATCTATCCTCAATTCTACAGCGACCGCGAAGAGTCGTGGGCGTGATTCATTAAGAGGCCATATAATGTCGAGGAAAACCGGTGTTAATGGGATTAATATAAATATTGTTACCATAGAGTACATCATCACTATGAAATTATGAGAAGTATGTTCTTATGTGTCTGTTAATTTTTGGATAAAAATTATATGTACACGGAAAACTCGCTTCGTGCAAAATTTCTTTATTAAATGCTTATACATGTATTAGAATGAAATTACTAGCTAAATTACTCGTATCTATAGTCATTCGTATATTTATTTTGCAACATGACATACTCACACGCGTAAAATATTGTAAATTTTCGTGATATGGTGGAATAATTTTTAAGAATTTGAAGTTCCGATTCACTTTTAAATATATTCCAATGGTTGTCCATAGTCTCGTATAAACTTTGAATCTGACCATTGTAACAATAATTATGAAAATAATTAAGGACGAATCGAAAGAAGGATCTTATTAAAATGTCACTTGGAAAGCATGCAAGATTGTCTTGTAAATTTAGGACCTGAGCAGAATAGCTGACTTATAATTTTAAGACAATGTTTTATGATTTAAATCTTTCTTTTTAGTAACGCACAATATTATATCTTGTGTCTCAAGTCTTACAAATATTGACACTTCGTACACACGTTTAAGACTTGAGGCACAAGAAGTATATTGTGCGTTACTAAAAACAAAGATTTAAACATTTAAAGCATAAAACATTGTCTTAAAATTATAAGTCAACTATTCTGCCCAGGTCCTTACCTTATCGTGATTCAACAACTCGTTCAACAGTTTTGCGACAAAGGTAGTTAACAAAACAAGTTGAGAACCGCAGTCGAAGAGCAATCGGGTATCCTTCCAATGATCATATATCATCAATACCTGAGCGCAGTATTGACACAATAGCGGTCCGTAAAATATGTTATGCAATAAAAAATTGTATTTAGCGTAACAATATTTCTCAAATGCTAATCGAACTTGCAGATTAAAATGTATTAACCGATACACGTTACCTCGAGCGGGTAGTAACTTATTTCAATCGCGAGATAGCAAATCGGTATCAGACTTCTCGCGAGTTTACTTTGAAACGGCCAGAGACCTAAGCACGACAAAAATATTTTATTGATACTGTGCTCTCGCTGGATATGCGCCAGCATGACTCGGCATCTATTTCACGCTTGAAAGCTGCGGCACAAATAATAAACGCTCGTCGATTTTTACTATAATTTTGCTACGCAAGTCGAGGCATAAGTTCAAACTTGCAAAATGTCAGAAATTGTTGGCGGATACCAATTACTCTTGCCAATGTAAAAAGATACCTGTTCTATAGGCTAGTCTCGGATTACTATAGCATTTCGGGAATATCTTTCCTACCGCAACATTTACGTGTTGTAGTAACATTGCATGACGCGACGTGGCAAAGTCTATCGGCTCGACAGGTAGTAATTGAGAGTCACCTGAAAATATGATAAAACTGTAACAGACAGGAAGCGTCCTGCGCTCTAGTCTTACCATGACTGACTCTCCCTATTATCTCTTGCAATTTTTATAGCACGAGTTGCGATCGTTAATAGACGCAGGTGTAGTCGGTTTTAAGTGCTTCTTGTGCCCGAGCGGAGTCGACGAATTTCCACATGTCTCCGTGGACGACGTGAGGGAAACTCTTTCGGAACTGCTGCCTACGAAGACCGTGCTGGCGGTATACTTATTACATCACGCATTGCGTTTACATTTTTCGTGAAATCTATTCGCGACGACTAATCGCAAATGTATTTGCAGTTTCACGCAGAATACGAGCGAAATGAAAAAACGAATCGACTAACCGGTACGTACGAGTAATACTTTCGTCTCTTCGCGGCATTGAATTTTTTTGTATCGTAAACTTTCAGGCAAACCAGAATTGTACGACACTTTCTTGCGTGCTCGTCCTGATCTCATGGAACTTGATGCCGTAAAATTAATTTGTGATTGGTGTATAAAATATAAGTAAGTCAGAGAAAGAGAGAGAGACTTGGCGTTCGTTTCGATATTTTGTATAAAAAATAATGTTACATAAAACTTTCAAGCTTTCGATGCCACATAGTGCATTTGTCAAGCGCAGAATGTTTGACATTAGTAAATGATACGAAGGCTCGTGGTGCACCTTTAACCGTGGAAACGTGTTATCACTATCTGACACTAGCAGCGGAAGAGATACCGGCAGGTTCCACTGAATTCAAGTGTTGCCCGCCGATCAGGGGAAAGAGTAATCGAGTAATTAGACAAATCTTTCCTTTGCCTGTAACCGGCTAAGTCCTTCCTATTTAACAATTTCAATCGTAATGTATCTTTGCTTCGATAATCGGAATTCAGATATTCTGAAACGGTATTCGAAAAAATTCGCTACGCGATATAATATGCACAGAGATATATATATTTTAATCAAACAAATTTTTTAAGCTTTTAAGTGATTTTGGCATTTAATATCGCGAGACTTGAATTTATTCTTAGCAAGTCGATTTTCAATCTTATATGATATATTAACAGGAACAATTGTGGCACGGTGTTAAAAGTGGAACAATAGATATGATCGTTTCGGATCACTCTCCCTGCGTGCCAGAATTGAAAACTCGCGGAAATTTTCTGACTGCTTGGGGTGGAATCTCCTCATTGCAATTCGGTATATATTTATATGAAATTTATCAGAGAACAGAGAGCATGAGAACATTGTAGGAGAGGAAGAGAAAGAGAGATAGATACGAATTTTTCTTCAAAAATACAAATAGGATTACCGCTGGTATGGACAGCCGCGAGAATGAGAAATATACCATTTTCCGATGTCTCGAAGCTATTAAGCAGTCAGCCCGCAAGGTTGTGCGGTCTCGAAGATCGTAAAGGTGATTTATCAGTTGGAATGGACGCGGATTTCGTTATTTGGAATCCAGAGGAATCTATTAAGGTCAGTTCTGCTGTATATTGTATTAATTTGAAAAGTAGAGAGCATTTCACATAAGTATCATTAGAAAACGTATCGTATTTTCGCAGATCGAGAAAGGTGACATTCACCACAAGAACAAAGTAAGTAAACGCGGCATAAGCTGCCGATTAAAAACATAAAAAACATGGCAATTCTTCACAAAAGATCTCGCCAAAAATATTTAACTTTACAGCTGACTCCATACGAAGGAAAGGTCCTATTTGGAAAAGTAATTGCAACCGTCCTTAGGGGACGATTTGTTTTCAAAGAAGGAAAAATTTGCGATAAACCTACGGGGAGATTATTGTTAAATGCAAATATCTTGCAAACGATAGAAACCCGATAAACTCTATTTTGTTTTGTACAGCTCACGAATCTATTATTCCTTCGTTTCCGTTTCAATATGAATTGTCAATAATAAAGAAAGATAAGACAAATAATAAATTATGAAGAATACTTGTTCACATTATTAACTCTTGTTTTATATTATTAAAAGTAAGTGAAACTCTTTTTCTTCGTATCTTCTAAACAGCCGAAAGTTGGTATTTACAGACACACAAATGTTGCTCGTCCAGTATTAGAAATAGCCGACGGTGATGTTGCGAAACAATTTCAAAACTCAAGAAAGAAACATATATTCATAAAAGTGAAACTCTTCGGCCGATACAGGTAACAGCAAATCTTGTCTGTGTCGTATATTGGTCAATGGGGCACCGATATTCATAGCAGGTCGCACGACGTTCCTCGAGAACGTATACCGAGTGAAATGGCCCGAAGATTTACGTCGTCGATTTTTCGCGACAACTGGTTCCTAAGCATTTACTCTAGTTTGATTTGCATAAACAATGAAACGTTTTCGATGTAATATCCAAAAATGTTATTATAAATCTATGCGCTTGCAAAAAGATACATTGAATTACAAACAAAATATTAAACGTAAGAATATTTATATGTCGTCTTTATCTGATATCCGCGTATGACATAAGTATATAAAAATACAAGTGAAAATATTTATGTCTATAACTATATTTTTTCACCTGTAATTTTCACTTTCGTTCTCTCTATATCTTTGTTTCTTTTTTATCTTTTATCTTTTGTATGTTTCTTCATAATTTTTCCTTTAAGACTTTTTTCCATTCCTCGAAATACATACATAATATGTGACGAATATTCGTATAGTTTGAAGCTTGGACGGTAAGTCTTCCTTGAGGAGGATGGGAGTGGCATTCACCGCTCTTCTGCCACCACGCATCTGCGGTATAAAAGCAACCCGCGTTGCAGCGCGCTTAGTTTCGTTTCGGAGTGGCTCGATTGTGAAACGCATTTTCAACGTGAGTACCACATTCCACATAGTAAAGAACCCCATGTTGTTTCCTTGTTTAGAAAAAAAGCGAACTTCATTTTCGACCAAATTTTGCGTATATGTAGTATTTCACTGCTACTCAATTATAGTTCTATTTTTTACCTTTTTAAACTTTATTGCGCTTGAAGTGCAAAGCACACGTTTTGAGAAAAAAAATAAATAAACGTACAAAATTTTAACGTGTCATATATTTCTCTCTTCATTAATATTCACATTTTTTATAACTCCAAATTTAAGTCAGAAATATTAATTTTGATATCGCGCAATATAAACCATGCCTATAAATTTCTATAAAAATAATATTTTTATCTCGGAATATCCGTTGTGTTATATCGGATCACAAGTTTTTATTTCGCGCAACGAAATTCTCCGTGAACGTTGTTCCATTTTCGCGACCTCGACCATTAAGGAGAGATCGGACCAACGCTCTTCGAACAACACTTTCGATACACACAAAACTCTCGCCAACAACTGGCATCTCGTTCCTCCGCATTTTACACGATAACAATCTTACGTTCACGTAATATTTAAATTGCTTCATAATTTTTGTCCCGAGCGTGACGCGAAGCTGATGAATTATGCATAGAGTTGCGAAACTCTCTGCAAGAGATCATATATATATATATATCATATAGTTTCTTTGAAGTCTTCATCCTATAATTACTTGCATATATTTCGAAGCCTTTGAATTTTATGTTTTTTAACCGTTCATTAAGTAAATGCTGTTTAATAATCATCTATCTTATTTCTCTCCAGATGGGATTTCACACCGTAGTTCTAGCCACGTTGCTTCTGGTGGGTGTGATTACGGCGTACCCACAGAAAGACGGGCAAATCTTTAGCAATGAGGCGATACGGCAAGCTCAGAACACCTATCTCATCCCCAAGGATGCGACCATACAAAAGGTCCAAGAGGGCATCGAACTGGCCGCTTACGAATCAATCCCCGGAGACCAGAGGATCAATCTCTTCGAGATCCTGGGCGAACACGTGCCACCCGAAGTGGTGAACAATCTTCAGACCCAGATCGATCAAATAGGTCGAAATTAAATTCTCTCCTCTTGCATTGTCGTTGTCATCTGTCGTCATCGTCGTGTAAAAAATAATCATATTCTAAGTGCCTTTGTAGAAAAGTATTTATGAACAGCTGTTTCCTTCGCTTTTGTATCTTGCTTTTATGTTTGACAAAATTCTTTTTATGATGTAGAAAGAATTTTTACTTTTCATAAATAAATGTATGAGAAAATAGCTTGTATATGTGTTTATCTTCTGCTTGCGATTACATCTTACACATTCGTTCATAGATAGAGAATAATTTATCGATGACGTCGATATATTTGCAGTACGCGAAGAAGTAAATATAATAATGTATTTTATAATAAAGTACTTAGTGTGCTTATATCTCTCGTAATGTCATTGGTCTTGTGATAGCGCCATAAACTATTTAGCGTTAAAATTGGCATTCCTCAAAACGCGCAGTTTGCAAATCGTGAAATTAATCATGTATTCTTGTAAGGATCTCTTAGTTTGAATTATGTATGCTAGCGATATATCATAGAGAAAGTTGCAGAACTACTCATCGAAGAAGCGTACTTTCACCTCTATTCACCGTGTTACTGAACATGGCTTTTCCGTTCTGCCGTTTATTACATGACACAGCTAGATCGGAAATTTCAGCATAATCAAGACACGACGACGGGGTTATGAGATCACGTTTTCCGTTTTCTGCTCTGCTAATTTTATTGTCTCATTATTATAATACATATCTATATTGAGAACGGAAGGTCTCGATTCATACTTTTTGTGTGGTACTTTCACTTTCTTTCATATATATATATATACACAGCCGTGCGTATGTAAATGGGTTAAATCTATCAGAAAAGTCGTTATATAACAATATACAGTTTTGATCATCTTATGCTATCTGTTACAAAAGTTTAATAAAAAATAGTTACCATAATTAGTGTTTCTTGTATCGTTTTTTTTCCTGCAATTTCTCGCACATACATTGTACTCAGATCATATGTTTTTCTAGAAGTATATAACACTATCGTATAATAATGATGAATTTCGTTCACGAGTAAGTGGGGCGTTTTAATAAAAACAATCACTTTTATGTATCAACATTACATACATTTTGAAATATAAAAACCACAAATGACATTTACATTAATGTTAAATAACTTAAACACGGTGTTATTATGTTAAAGTACAAATCTGAGAACTATGTAAATGAGTTTTGACCAATTTCCGATTCATTTCGGCTTTCTTCATCTTTCGAATCAATGATCCTCTTGTTTCTCAGCGTACACACATAATGCATGGGCTCGACGAGGGGAATTGCAAGTGTATTTCCACCTCTCTGAGTAACCAAAGCATACAAAAAGTCATATAAGACGTATTGTTTTCTCAAATAATATTAAGTATTATAATTATAAATCCAATGACAACACTTTAAAGTACGCAGATTTTAAATTTTTAGTAAGCATGAAGAAAAACTATCAGGACCCATATAACGTGATGAATCGCATTTATTAGTAGTACATTGTCTTGCATTTCTATTGTTATATTTTCTTTACCATCCATAATAATTAAGCTCCATCGGAAATGCTTATATATTAATGCTGTTCTATATTATATTTCTTATCAGTACTGATGCAAATTTGAGTATCTTTCATACATTCTAAGACATCATGGCAAGCCATGACATGTCTTTTTCTAAACCCCAATACTTCTTTATAACAAGAAATACTCCAAATTTATCTCATTAATTCATTTGTCTTTATACCTTGTATGTGTCACGGAAAACTTATGAGACATATATTTATAATGCAAGTCCTCTTATATATTATCGAATAAGAGATGGAATGAGATATACTTAATCTTAGAAACTATATTAATATTAAATGTGCACAAATTACAAAAAACGAAAAGTCATATTCTACCCGAAACTTTGTCGAAGAAATATAACAAACAAAATTAAAATATAATACGCATACATCCCTACGCATTTTGACTTCATACAAAATTTTATTATGTACACTTGAAATCTCAAATATCAGAAATATGAGGATATTAATACACCATTGTTTTAAGTGAAGTTTTTACGTACTACAAGAAACTAAGTGCGTACGAACGTAAAATACTCGAACGGCAAAAAAAAATAATTATTTAAAATATAACACTAATTGATTCGTTTCTGCTCTGCTCACTCAATGCAAGAAAATGTACTATTCTTACAAATTGCTATATCTTAAGAAAGCTTTACTTGGAATCAGCATGGTATTTGCAGTAATTTCCTGTGTGCTCTTTTCTCACTGTGCAGACCTCCTTCATTTACTTCCTGTAAAAATTTGATAGTTAAACATGTAACCAAGTACTTAAAATCATTACGAGTACTATTTATTATATATTATTATCTATTAGTTATTACTTACTTAGATCTCTTAGATCGGTCGCTTCTTTCAGAGCTCCGTTCACGAGGACGTTTCTTGCCGCTGGACGAAGAATGCGACTTATTTTTATCGTGTTTATCACTCTTTTTGGGACTAAACAAACAAATCAATTTCAATTATAGTAACATCAAAAACATAAAACTTGTCGGTAATCACCTGTGTTTGGATGATTTGGAAGGAGACCCTTTCTTGTGCGAGCCCCCACTCCGTGATCGATCCGTTCTTTAATTATCAAGCACAAAACTCGATATAATTTCGCAACAGGAAAATTTATTTTACGTGGAAATATCTACTATTTGTAAACTATAGGTCCGATTTCACAGTCTCCGATTAACTTGATCCTCCAATTAAACTCACTCTTCGTCTCTTTCTAGGGGGACAGTTAGAAAGAGATGCAGAGTGAATTTAATCGGAGGATCACATTAATCGGAGACTGTGAAATCGGCTCTCTAAGGGATTATATTTACCTGTGTTTGTCCGGTGATCGTTTATCTTTACTGTTGGATGAACTTTTACTCTTTGAGTTCGAGGAACCCTTGTGCTTAGAGTTATGTCTTATATGAAACAAAGAATAGATATTTGAAGTCAATATTCAATAAGTACATTGAATTATCAAATACATCTATGCCTACCTATCTTTTGAAGGAGATGGAGTTTGTCTTCGGTTCGTTTTCTTCTTTTTGCCAGAACTATAATCGTCATGATAACGAATATCCCCTTCTTTGTCCTCTTCGGCCGCTTCTCTTTCCAAATCCGACCAATCTTTACCCGATTCTTCAGAACTGTCTAACTCTTCTTCTTAAAAAAACGTAAAAAATGCATAAGAAAAATGAATAAATTAGAAAATAAATACAAAATAATACAATTGCGAATAAAGAACCTTCACTATCGTCATCTTCAGAAGCTTCGGAATATTCAGAATCATCATCAGATTCTTCCTCGCTCTCAAAATCGGATGGCTGTAAATAAATTAAATATATATAAAATATATTTATCAGTCCTATGTTTTCAGAAAATCTTATTTGTATAAATGTCGAACCTCGTATGCATCATCTTCTTCCTCTTCTTCATCTTCAACTTCTTCATTTTCAGCGTCACTTTCTGGATCCAAGAATGTCCATCCTCCGCTATCAAAGAATCCTTCAGGATCATCTGTTATAGTCTTCATTATCTTTGTCCAATTCAAAGACTGGACACCTTCCGAATATCGAATGTCACACGAACTAAACAAGAAATTATAAATTTAATAATTATGTAAATTATACTGTTTAATATAAAGGCTGTCAACTTTGTACATAAAATAATGTCACTTACTTTAACCATTCCTTGACATGATCCAACATGTTCATAGGAATGGCGTTTACCATCGCTACCTTTCTATGATAATCTTTGAAAACGAAAATCATGTCAAAGTTCTTTAAGTGAAATTGTACTCTTTCAAAATGAACCAATTCAACATCTTCCAAGGTAATGACAAATGGAGGCTAAAATCGAACATGATATTAATGTAATATTCTCTTTGCCTTGAAAATATTAACTTAGTTTTATCAAGATGAATTACCCATTCTGTGAGATTAACCAAACATCCACTAGTTGGTTGAAGTAAGACAGTACTCCTGTATGGTGCACCAGGAAATCCCAAGTCTCGAAACGGTGTATCAAATTCTATCTCTTGCTTTGTCACGCTTTCAACCTTTATACAACGCAGACAAGAATCGTTAAGTAATAGAAATAAATGTAAAATCAATAATAATAGTAAATCAATAAGCAATAAGTTAATTAAGTCAAATTTATACACACCTTTTCACAAAAGCTTCTAAAAGCGGTTTTTAATTTATGTCTCAGTTCTCGTTCCGACTGTTCAGCTGCGAGATCGTCGCGATCATGCATATGTTGATGTTTACCTAAATCTGTAGTAATTTCTCCAACTTCGGTATAGAACTGCACGTCTACATGTTTCTTTTTACCAAACATAATAGCATGCTGAAAAAATACACATAATATTTTTAGATATGTACTCACATATTGACGATATAGATATGCAATTCACATATTCTTCATTAAAAATTAATATCACTCTCTTACATGATAAGATATTAAAAAATATTTGTTTAAGATAACAATATGATACATACCTTTAAATGGAAATGAAGTAGTATAATCATTTCACCATCGCATGGCTGGAAGAAAGCGTTCTTAATGTTATTATAAAGTATGTCCACTTTATCACCGCGAACTGAAGTATAGCGGAATCCGTTCGTGTGCGCTTCTAAACCACCCGTCATTCTTTTTGTAACAATATTCGGCCGAATATATAAGTCCTTTAACTTTGGATTGCCTTTATTCTGTGATAATATTAAGGTATCTTGCTTCACAAGATCCTCCTTTTCTCTTTCTTCCGCCTCTCGATTTTTGAACTTCTTCTGGACTTCTTTAATTAGCCTAAAGGCTGTATTTAGGTTTGACGACGGTGCGGAGATCTCGCCGGGCTCTTTGGTATTTGTGCTTCGATATGTTACCTCCTTAACAAATGTTGCATCAGGCTGAGGGTAAGATCCACCTTCGTTTCGTCCCATGGTTGCGCCAGGATGAAAGAAGTTTATTCTAAGGTACGTATAATCTCCTTCTACTGACTGTGAAATGTTCTTAATTGTTGATATGTGGAAAGGTACTGGAATACCAGCAATGGGTAAGATCACAGTTTCATATTTCTTATCCACATATAACTTCAACTCCTTGACTTCCGTTTCGCGTGGCATATGACTCAAACTTTTGTACGATACTGTTGATTTACGTATCTTCTCCTGTTCTTTACCACCGGACTGCTGGGCCAATCGAGCCTTAGCAATTTCATTCAACTGTTGTGCTAACTCTTTCTGATGTTGCTTTCTCTTCTCTTCTGAACTATGCTCTGTTCTCAATTTAGACTCTATTACGGCCGATCTTTTTCCACGTCCCAAGATCTCTGGCTTTGGCTCATTTTCTTTTCCGCTTCCCTCTTCTTCTTCATCTTCCTCATCTTTCACATATATGCCTATATTTTTCACCTTCTTCTTTGATGGCGTTAAATTAGTAGCGGGTTGTCCCTCGTTCACTATAACTGTATCGCCTATGAAAAGGGCGTATGATTTTCCTTCCTTATCCGTTGCGTCTAGATTAGCAAGATTTGCAAGACCGACATTAACATTAAATACCATGCCCTTCTTAGCTACCGCATGAATTTTCGGGCCCAACAGCAAAGAACTTTCCTTAAATTCAATGCCCATAGCAAATCCAAAATTTTTGGTCAAATGATTCAGCATTTCTGGTTTCTCATCTTTTACAAATTTAATACCAGCCTCGTATACCTCACTTATTTTTGTTCCCGCAACTAACTTTTTCAAGATCTCTTCTTCCAATTGTAACAAAAAATTATAATTTTCCTGTAACAATATATTATAAATTATAATATTAAAAATGTCTGTAATTTTATTTCAACAATACAGGTATTTATCTGTTGTAATGTTTCTGTATTTTCTACATACCTCAATTGCTTTTGTGGGGTTAACCAACAGAGTTCTCACAATGTTAGAACAGTAGGATTTGTAACGTGCTCCCAATGAACAAACAATAACACCAAAGTGAAGAGTAGTATTTTTGTCACTAACAGCGCTAAATTTAAGCGAATAATTTCCACCGCTTTGTATAATTGCAGGGTAACACATATCTACCTGTGTAATATCTACTCCAGTTACATACTTCTTATTTGTGATAGCTGTATCTACACCTTCTGCCAGTTTTGAGTGTTTAACTTTCTAAAATTGAAATATATAACTGCAATGTTTCTATCCACGTTCCGTCTTTATTTACAAATACAGCTCATGTAAAATTGTAGAAAATATACCTTATCCGAGTCTATGATCTCCATTATCTGATCTTTAAGATACTTGGTGAAAACGTCCACTGATATCAGACAAGCTTTCTTTATGGTAATTATCTCACTGTCTTCTTTTGGACACATGACATAAGCAGCTGCAGCACTTACGTCAACCTGTATAATCACACGAAGATAAAGACGTTACACTTTTTCAACTTCTACACGTAGTAAAACTTTCTATCGTTTTGCCTGCTCACCGTATCAAAAGATTCGTTCTTTAAAGCGGCTCTCCATGCATCCATGAAAGCACCTGGGTAATTTTCTTTCGAAAACACTCCCAAAGTTTTGCCTTTTTTACTTTGCTTCATCACTTCGATGAGTTTTCCAAAATTTGCCTTGTCCTCGTCAGTCTGCAAGATATTTAAGTACTCCTTAATATGCTACCGACGTGTTCGATAATAAAATTGTTCTTAGACAAGTCGTGCGACATACATACCCGATCTCTCACAAATAATTTCACAGATGGTACTCCTGTATCCTCGGAATTCTGATTTTCCACCTTTTTCAGAAATTCAATTTTCTTCTTACTGGCCAAGAAGTTGATGGAATCCTCTGCCAATAACATTATAGTATCCGTAAGTTCGTAACTAAGCAGCCATGTCTAAAACAAAGCACATTCATACGTTTATTTCTGAATCAATAAAAATAAAACAGTCTATCTTATATTGAACATTTCCAGTAAGTTAATTTTCGGTCATTGATATATCTGTGACAAATATTAAGTATAAAATCTTATTACGTAACGTCCTTTTCGAGTGAATAAATAATTCAAGATACACAAAGGACGATAAATGTCCGGAGTCTTGGAGAAATTAGCACACATGTTGCGTCTATTTTACAAGATACTCATAGCGAGGAGAGAGGAGAGTCCTCTCAGTTTTCAAATTTCAAATTCTTAACCTTCCTATACCCGCGCATTGGTCTGTAAGACACGGACGACACGTTTTAACGTGTTCGGACGTGTTCCGCCCAAACAAAAAAATTTTTTAAAATATTGCGACTGATACTGTCTGCTTGCAATTGCCTTTTAGACCGCCACTTAACCGTATAGTAATCAAACAGTGAAAAACACACAAACAGAGGCAAATGCTGGCCATATTGACCTCGTATTAGAGGCAGGAGCCAATACAAATATAAGAAGAAGAAGAAGCGCATTGGTCTGTCAGACCGACGATATACGTTTGCCTTGTTTTCCATTAAAAAAAAAAAACAACAAGGCAAACGTATATCGTCGGTCTGACAGACCAATGCGCGGGTATAGGAAGGTTAAACACACACACACACACACACACACCTGTAACGCTATGGACTTGCTGTAAACGATATCCTCGTCAGTGCCGACGGCGGAAAGGAGACAATCCATTTTACTGAAACTGTCGTCGGTGCCGACCTCGCCGTCCTGTTGAAAATAAAAGATTGTACAAGATAACGCAACAGTTCTCGGTTGCCGGGATTTCGCGTGCACGCGATTTCCAGGCACGCTTACCTTCCACGCGGCGTACAGGCGCTTCATGCGCCGGAAAAACATGTCCTTGTCGAGGGACACGTTTGCCATGATTTCGGCGGTGGATTTTTACTCACGCGGACACCTTCGCCTTCTTCAAAACGCTAAATTATAATCAACGCCTGCGTCGTAAGCGGGCGGGGGGGGGGAACAAAACATTCAGAAGACGCGTATACGTAGCGCCTCGGCGTTTATCACATCTTCCCTCCCGGTTTTCTCGGTGAATTCGCGCGCCGGGATACACAGATCGATTTTATTTCGCGAGTTACAACCGCCGACGGAGACCGCGACGGACACCGTGAGCTCGTGCGACCACACAAACGCGGAGATGGCGGGATTTATAACCAAACCCCGCAACCACACACACGCAACACGCAACGCTACGGATGCCGCGAATCGTGACGTGACGCTCGCGTCGCTCTCACGCACGGGGAAGTGAGGAACGCGTCCCGCGCAGCAGCGCCGTGAAAGCGAGGCGCCGATTGGCTGGAGCGTCCTTCCTCGCCGCGCGCCAACGCTAGGGAACAAGGGAACAATGCGCGACTCGCGCGCCAACCAATCGGCGCCTCGCTTTCACGGAATCACTTGAAACGCCTGCTGGGAAGGGATCTAATGCGTACTGCGTAGCAAGCGTAGTGTCGTGACGCCATGACTGCTCGTGCGCACGCCCAGCGTTTTCCACCTATCCCTCTATCGGTCATCCGCGTGGGGGCTTTCTGAACGCAATCGAATGCTGGATATATCCGTCATTTTCTGTCTCTCTATAAACAAAGAAAATATTGCTTTTCTTTATAATTTTAGATCGTAAAAATAAGTTGGACGCGGAATGGTGTGCGTGCCATGCTTTGTGGTTCCTGTAATCCTAATATATATTGAGGTTCCTTATACAACCGTTACTGGTCAAGTGGTGAGAGACAGAGGCAGTTGAGGGATAATAAGGGACGACAGGCCGAGAAGGATCAACCGTGTCCAGATTTGATAAAGGAAAGCAACAACGAGACGTGTACCCTGTCGTGGAAAGAAAAAAGCAACCCGGTAAAGAAAAGCGAACGAGGAGCAGTCTTTTCGCCGGGACACACGGTTTGCTCAATCGACATGTACTTATTACTTGGACACTTACATTTTGTTGAACAATCAAAAGTTTGTAGTTTGAATATATTCTACTGACATGTCTGGGAATCGCGTAGGACATTGATCAATTTGCATATGATTGGACTAAGAAATAAGTAATCTCGCTTATTTCGATTAATTAAATTATGTAATTCTGTACGTGGTAATATATATATATTCTGTTAGTGTATTAGCACATATTGAATTGTATGAAGACTATTGGTTGTGCAGTTTGCAAAAAATTTTTGTTACATATACGTATGCACATATGACAGATTCATTCAACGGAACATAATCATTTCATGTATAATATAATAAATATATAATGTATATAAACTGTTATGCATTTTACTTTCATACTGCTTTAATGCTCTAATATGTAATTTGGAGCAATAGAAATTCTAGAAAATGCGCGTGTTAAAATATCAAAATAACATATTACTATTGAAGATTTATAAACATAGTTTACTTAATACTAAACACCAAGATCAATCTTCTGTTATCAACCTTCCTGTGACTGCCAAAGTTTTAACGGTCAATCTATGACATTAAATTTATGACTTATTACTTGGATGTTTTATATGTATATTTATCTACAATGTGAAGTACTTTATTTAAATTTGCATTTAATTGCTATTGTCCATGTTGTACTGTCCATATGAATGGTAACTATAGAAAAAGAACGGTTCTACAATCTAATTGCATTATAGAGAAATATTAATTTATTAAACATCCATAAAGATAAATTGTAAATTTAATGTTACATCATGAGGTAATCAGTGATATTTACAAAAATATCATTGAGACAGTCGATGTTTATTATCTCTTCAATAATTTAAGAGTTTACCAATTAATAATCATGATCATTTATTCTGAACAATTCTCATAAACGCTATCTTATCGATGATTGACTAAAATCTATAGGAACTTAAAAATATTTATTTACTTTATAAATTATATATGATAATCTTTAGACTTGACAAATATTTTTTGAGATACAAAAAGCAGATACGTCGATAGTTAATACCAAGTTATGGCCGTTGCACAACGCGACGATAGCGATGAAATTTCTGATGAATTCTGTATCTATCGCCTTATAGCCAACTAATCAGCATTCAGATTTATGCTGAGACACGCGTTTCCAGTTTTAAAATGTTTCGAGTCTACGATATATTTGTATTTTGACGCTATCGCTATCGCCTACCGCTATTGCCTAGCATTGTGCAACGGCTATTAGTATCAAGAAACATATAGATAATTTTATATAAAACGTTTTCTTTTTTCTTGTTTTATTCGCTTTCCTAAAAAAATATTTCTTGCCTTTACGTAAATAAGATTAAAACACAAGATAAAAAAATGTCTCTTATCCTATTGAGGTAGTAGTCGTGAGAAACGTATTTAAAAAAAGATCCTTAAACTATTTACAAGAATTATCTAGATTATTAATATTTACTCGATTTTTATAAGTTCGACGTCATATACAAGTGTGGAACAAGGAGGGACACGTAGTTTAGCGCCTCCAGATCGTAAAATTTTTCTGTAAAAGAAAAATGTACGAAATTTACATAATTTTCAAAATAATGTGACAGCCATCATATTTGATTAAAGAAATTGAAAAAAAAATTGTGAAGATAACCCTCATTAAAATATAGAACCGTGAAACGAATTGGAATGCATAATCAAACGGCATAAGTGAATGCTATACATACCCTATCATTCTCGGTGGTATTAGAAGACGACGTTTTTCGCCAACTTTCATTCCAACTATTCCTTCATCCACACCGTGGGGCACATAACCCGTACCGAGTTTAAATCTGAAGCCACGTCCATCTAAGCAATGATTGAGCTCTGTTACTTCAACCCCAAGCATGAAACAAGCCAAATAATAAATTGTGACAAATTTGCCCACTTCCGCGACTTTGCCGGTGCCAGGTTTTAGCCGTTTCACTCGTACACCACTCGACAAAACCCATTTATTACTTCCTCGCTGCTCCCGTTTCTTTCTCTTCTTATCTTTCTGTTTCTCGACAGCTTCTTCTCCGGTTACTTTCTTCTCTTGCTTCTGTTTTTCATTTTTTTCTTCCCCTTGAGATGTGTCCTCTTCACTTTGCATCTTGATTTCATCATTATCACTGCCTGATGATGTTGACATATAAGTAGTATTACTATAAAAGCTACTGGAATAACCATCGTAATCAGACTCGTCCTCTTCCTCATCGTAATCTGAGTCGCCCTCGTTCTCATCGCAATCGGAGTTGTCCCCATGTTCAGCGCAATAATTATTATTCTCAATAAGTTTTCCTAAATTTTCTATATTCTGATCACAATTATCATCATTACTGCGATTCTCATTGGAGTTAGCCGACGGTTTCGTGCGCTTTGCTGCCTGGTCTTCCTGAGAATTTGCTTTTCTTTTCGACTTGGTTTTTCTTCCATTTTCTTGGTTTTCTTCTTCTGCATTTATCTTTTGTACCAGCCAGGATCCGTGTATTATTCTTTGGTATTCCACTTTCTCACGGTTCTGTTTCAAATAGTCCTTTGTGTCGTCTATAGTATTTAGGCCTTCATGTATATGCGCAGATATAACTTTCGATATCACAGCGCTCGGATCGCTTAACTTCGGATTTTTGTAATACCCAGTTAAGTGTACGTAACCTCCGCCGTTGCATGAAAGTGTTATAAAAGTTCCCTTTTCCATGTGTAAGTTGAGCGGTACTTGCCACACGTTCTTCTTGCTTAAAGAGCAAAGCAGATATCTCGTTGTATTCCCGCCAAAAACCACCATTACTTGTGTTACAGGATCATCTGTGAAAAAAAAAGAGACGATAAGGATTTTCAAGCACAATTGGCTGCGTTCAGCAGGGAAAACTGTTTTGCAACAAGTTGTAAAAGTCGTGAATCTGATTTTTTTGTGTACGCTTTTAATTTTGACCGGAGCTAAGAGTACAACACTCGTCAAATTCACGAAAATTTTACAACAGTTGCAAAGCTTTCTCTGTTGAACGCAGCCATTGTCGCGCGGGATACAATTCGCGATGCAAATAAAAAACATCCGATACAATGCACATTTATCCTGACTTGCTGAAATCTTGGGAGTCTTTTCTATTGCTCCACTGGCTGCATTAGTTCGAGAAGTGTGCATGTCACGCGCACTGTACATTTTCAATACTGACAGTAAATAACGCAGTCATACATCGAAGCGTGAGAAACGTACATACGAGACTCTCACGTTTTAGTGCGTGAATAATTCTTGAAGCTAGTACAGCAATAGAAAAACAGATCCTTAATCTATTCTCTCTTGAAACGACATTAGAGAGGAGGAGGAGGAGGGGTCAAGTTTTGGGAAAATACTTTCACTACCAAGCGAAATAAAATGAAAAAAATTAACGCCCTCAGGGCAAGGTTTTTTCGGACTGTATTTGTTGTTATATTTTATTGCCGATTCTCACAGTGTTTATGCTTTTAACGGCGTTCGAACTCGCACCACGTGCACGCCGTTACGCGCGACGTAAGATGTAAAGACGTACACCGGCCGTACACGTGGTGTGACGTATTAAGATGGAAACAGAGCGGGTTTCAGGTATGCTGTTGGGATTTCACGGAAGCGTCGTAACCGACCTTGATATATCTTACCGGTCTTCGTGATGTCCAGACTCGCCATGGTCACGTGGAACGGCTCTTCCACCCGCTGCGAGTACTTCTTGTGCGACTGCATCACCAATGCTGTAATACAAGTAACACGCGGAATTAGGCGTAACGTCACGAGAGCTCTTTCACGATTTTCGTCTCGACGCAGTCGACACGTGCGGCCAGATTCCTCGATTCCAAAGCGGACGGAACATAGCGACCGCTGGCTGCGATATTCACGGATTTTATTAGCATTTACAGAATAAATTTTTGTGTGCCTTACACCAAAGCATGTTGACTGATTTTATGAGCTCGTCGTAGAATCTAGAATCCTCCAAGACTCCAAGTTAAAACGGAAGACTGGCCGGCCCAAGAAAGCGAAGTTTGTCCGTCCTGGATGACTATCACCAAACAAATGCGGTCGACCGGGTTCGAATACTTCGAATTTATTGCCCGCGTGGTCACGTGCAGCGGAGGTGGTATGGCTGTGTTCGGAAACGTCACCCGAGTGCACCCGATTATACTCCCTTCTCTTTCTATCTCAGCGAGTTAGAAGGAGAAGGGAGTATACCCGTGTGTACTCGGGTGATGTTTCCGAACGCAGCCTATCTCTTGTCAAACGAGAAAGATTCTGCGCATGCGTGGTAGCGCCAACAACAACAGGTTTGTTCGTGTTGCTTGCGAGCGTTGGGTAGAGAGAGAGAGAGAAAAGATTCTAAACAAACAGATCTACGAATTTTACGGACACTCTCTTGCGATTGGCGCACGTTTCTCACTCTACCAATCGGATTCTCGTAATGAGAAAGGACTGGCACCGGCACGATCGTGGCCCAAAAATTACTAGCACGGCCGACGACAGCACGCTCTACTGCCTTTATGTATACCCTTGAACTATCATTTTTGTTTTATATATACATACATATATGTGCTTGATCTCCTTCTGCTACGCACACAGATGCATTCGTGCGTGCGCCCTACATATGTTCATACATATGCACATATATGCACACACACAAAATACCTGACAACCGCGTTTTCTACTAAAGCGTCAAACGTCAAACGTTTCTCGCGTAATCGGGATGTTGGAGACCGATTAAAGAGCCCTCGCTCCACAACAAAACTCGCAAAACACGGCTGTTTCATGCGCGCTACTTAGCTTTCATTTCATTCGCACACATATGCATACGTATATACATATGTATGCGCGTATATATACGTACGCCGCACCTGAATAGATCCCGCATTATATAGCGCGTATATTTTTGTAAGCCCCCGTCCGCGCGGAATGCCTTTTATCCGCGATTGATTCAACGTCGCTGCACGCCGCACGCGTCTGCACGCGCCCCCGTCCCCCGTAGCCGTTCGCCGGACGGAGCCGACTCCGACCGCTCCGACGTTTACCTTATACGTTGGTAAGAATGAGAGAAGCGGGGCCGTGGAAAGTGGTGGATTAGAAATTTTGCACGCCGTGCGGGCGTCGCGCGAGGTGCGATTTGCGATTTTTGCCTGTGCGCCGTGTAACGAACGCGCGACAGCCGTGTTGCTCTGCCATCGCCGCAGCCGCCGCCGACGACGACGACGACGACGACGGAGAGTCATGCTGCGCATCCACGCCGTTCGGGCCGCGCTCGGATCCGCGCAATTATGAGAAGGAGCCCGTTGTGCGCGTATCGCCCGAGAGTCCAATGCTGTTCTGAGGGGAGCGCGGCCCCCGGGCTCGTATGTACGCTTGGAACAATTTATCGTGTCCCGCGTACAGGGCTTCACGGCGATCGCCCGTGAAACGTGTCGCACGTATCATGAATGTGAGTATATTTAGTCGGCTTGTACTTGCCGAATCTCAAATTAAATTTATTCGCGGAGCATTTTTTGCTCCGACCGGTCGTGCGCCTGGTCGAGGAATGATTTTGCATGCCGACGGTACAATAATATCCCTGCGGTATCATTATACAATTGTTGTTCGAATAATTTCATGTATATGTTTCTTTTATTTATCTATTACAGTAATTATATGTAAACATATAAATATTATCTACCTGTCAATATCAATGTGCCAGTCGTGGAAAAATTACAGGACCTAATTATGCGATAGTGATTAGTCGCAGTCCTACTCTCTCTCTCTCTCTCTTTCTCTTTTGTATATAAATTATTTTCAGAGTATTCCCGTTCTACATTATTCTGGCAATTTGATTATGTAACTCACGTTGGACTGTTGACCCAAAATCTTGGTAAACTTGTATCTAATGACATTTCTCAAACGTAATTATATACTTTCGTATCTATTTGTGATTTGAAATGCCAATTAACATAAGGCCATTTTTGCAAGGGGACTTCTTTTCAGCTGTACTTTCTTAGATTTCAATTGGTACATACATATAGTTCAGATTTTACAAAAGTACAAAAAGTAAGGGATACAGGAAAGAAGAGAGAAACGTGTACAGGAATTTTGAAAAGTACAGCTGAAAAACGTAATCCTTTCTATGATGTTTATAGTATATATCTTAACAAAAACTTGATTTATTTATGTATAAAAAATATATCCATTAATGAATAATTTGAGTGCGAGAAAGATATGCCTTCATAAATCTTTATTACTAATAATCAGCAAACTTTGGCTTAAGCTAAATAGCTTATATTAGCTTACCTTGAATAATAATAATATTATGTATTTTTAAATGTTAGGTGGGTACATACGAAATGTCGGATTGTTGCCAATTGAAAATATTTGTATCAATATTTTGATCATATTACTTTTACAGCACAATCTTATATACAATTAATCGTTTATTGATATAGTTATGATCATTATAGTTAATGTGCTCATAAAACTTTAAAAAGAAACACGTGTTTATACCTTATTTCGTTTAAATGAGCTATCTTTTTTTAAAAGAATATAATGTTTTAATTATTACTCATTCAAATATCCAACATTTTATATGCACCAACTTAATATATTGATGAAACATGTACATCTAAAATCACTGTGTGTGCTGTTTTATATTTATTTCAACTTATTTATACTAATTTTTAACCCTTGGTTATACAATTGAATGTTTGTATTACTTTTGGATATAATAATGTTGTAATTTTGACGTAACATTAATTTCTATCTTTTATGTTTAAATATATGAATGAATTATATTAAATTTTATAAAATAAAGAGATCAAGAGTAGGATTCTTTACAAGTTTTTTATTGATTGAATTATATGAAATAATTGTCAGCAAAGCATTGTGTGTTTTTATAATAATATTGACATAACATAATCTGTTTAATTCTCAACGCAGGTGGTCAGCATAGCAGAGAGGTGGTGTCGAGAAGGTGGTTGACACGCCTTCGTATATTTGAGATGATCGAGAGTGTATCGCGCAGAGCGTTGAGTGGCTCCAGTGGGAGCTACCACGTTCGTGGTGCTGAATTAGCGAGGAATCGCAGACTAAAATCTTTATCAGCCACTGTTACTTTCCTGGATGAAACGCAGCATACATTTCAATTAGATGTAAGTTTATAATATCCGTTCGAAAGGTCTAATAAATTATATTCAAGTAAAAATGAATGTACGCATTACAGAAACGAGCAAAAGGACAAGTTCTATTGGACTTAGTGTTTCAACATTTAGAACTTATTGAAAAGGATTACTTTGGTTTACAATATGCCGAAAATGGAGTTAGCACAACTATTCCTACGTCTGATATGATGGTAACGTATCTTAAAAAGTTGTAGATTATTTACTTTATTACATATAACAAACATTTTTTCCTTTTATTATATATATATAAAATTTGTCTGTAAATAAAATATAGTTAAAAAATATTTAATTTAAAAAGTTATTAATTTTAACAAATATTTGCAGAGATGGCTGGATCCTTCTAAACCTGTGAAAAAGCAGATAAGAAGTAAGGGTAAAGATCCTATTTTCTTAACAAAACATCTGTAATTATATGAAAACTAAATATATTTTCTAATCATTAATCAACTTTCTCATATATTATACAGCTGCAAACATACAATGTATATTTGTTTGTTACAGGCGGACATTTCTTTTTTAAAGTAAAATTTTATGTATCCGACCCTAGTAAACTGCAGGAAGAATATACCAGATATCAGTTCTATTTACAAATACGTAGAGATATTCTTCAAGGAAAACTTCAGTTGCCACCTAGTACTGCTTGTTTAATTGCTAGTTATACAGTTCAGTGTAAGTGTATTTAAAGATAATATAATAATTTTAATCTTAGACTGCAAATCAATAAAATAAGTTGATACATTAAATCTTTTTATTTGATGCATATACAGCTGAATTAGGAGATTATCATCCAGAGGAACATGGGCCAGGCTATCTTTCACAACTGCAATTGATACCTGGTCAAACAGAAGAAATGGAGAAGAAAATATCAGAGCTGCATAAACTGCACAAGTTTGTATATCTTTATATCCAATGTCTTGTAAATCTTATAATTTGCTTTAATATTAAATGTATTCTTTTTTATCTATAGGGGACAATTACCAGCTGATGCAGAATTTAACTTCTTAGATCATGCCAAGCGCTTAGACATGTATGGGGTGGAATTACATAAAGCAAGGGTACGTAACTATATATTAGATCGAAAAGTATTTTTGTAAAGTAAAATAAACATAGAAGGTACATAGATACTTTGCTTGTCTTGCAGGATTCAACAAATAAAGAAATACAGTTAGGTGTTACATCGATTGGTCTGGTTGTATTTCAGAATGGCATAAAAATCAATGTGTTTTCATGGTCAAAAATAGTTAAAATCTCTTTTAAAAGAAAGCAGTTTTTTATACAGCTTCGACGAGAACAAGTGAGTTTCATTACTTGTTAGTTAGTTTAACATGAATAAACATTTTTTTGTCACTTTTGCGAATTAACCAATTTATGTTGCAGTCTGAAAACTACGACACGTTATTGGGTTTTAATATGCAAACTTATCGCAGTTCCAAGAATTTGTGGAAAGCCTGTGTTGAGCACCATACCTTCTTTAGACTTCACAGTCCGAAAATGCGACCAAAACGGTTTCCTCTTACTTTAAGTAGTAGATTTACATATTCAGGACGTACGGAATTTCAAACGGTTGAAGATGGGAAACATAGAGCACGTGTAGAAAGAACATTTATACGGTAACTATAACAATTTGCAATAGTTGAATATTGTCAAATCTATATTCTGCAGGGATTTTTATTATCATTTTTTAAACATTTAGTTCACCTAGTAAAAAAATTGCTCATACTATTGCAACGGCACCTGTTACTGAGGACAAAGGAAAACTGACAATACCTCCTGGAAGACCTCCACGATCTTATGACAATAAGGTTCAATCCCTCGGTGCTCGTGAACCTCGTCAAGCATGGGGTGAAGGAAATCCAAGTGACGAGTTAGTTACATATGATAATAATATATGTATAAGATATTTCAAAACTGTTCCTCTCCTTTTAAGTATACATAAGTAATCAATAGATAGAAAGGATCCCCTTAAGTAAATTATTAAAATTTTATTTACGAAATTTATCTAAATTTGATGAAAGAAATGATAATTGTTTTGGAATGTACAACATAATTTTTTACATTATGATTTATATAACTTGTAAAATTAATCAACAGTAAAAATAACTTGTAGTTGACGTTTATTTTTATTTAGCATCTTTAGTTTCATTTATCTCCTCTTATAGTGAAGGTGGTTTTTTATCTTTGAGGGAAGAAATAACAGGAAGCTACACACAAGGTGGAGCGTTTTCTCCAGCGCTAGGATCTCGAGTGTTCAGTTATGCAGACGATGATACAACTGCGGAAAGAAATATTTACGATTTGCCAGACTACAGCGAACCTACGAGTTCACCAGCTCCACAAGTATGTGTATCGAAAATACATATAGGTCCGTATTCTGGACGCACTTTTATCGGTAAATGTGCGCTTTTTTCTGAGATGCTATAGTATATGAACTATAACATCTCAGAAATAAATGCGCGCTTTTATCGATAAAGAGAGTTGAGAATATGAATCATAATATCTAACAAATAAAAGTATAGATATATAAT